GGAGGATGGGGAGCCCGGAGGGGGGGTCACAGCGGGGGCGGTTTGGGGCCCGTGCAGTTGTTGGCCCCATTGGGAGGGGGGCGCGCACCCACCGCACCCCCGACCCAGAGGGGAGCACAGGAAGAGGGACCCCCAGGGAGCCCGTCTGGGGAGGTCCTTGTTGAACTTGACACGATGCAACCTCTTCCTCTAAACAGGAGGGGCCGAGATGCCAGTGAGGGCCCTGCCGTCACCCCCCCACACACACCCTTCAGGGGTTCCCACCCCACCCCTTGTCCACCCTCTTTGCTCAAGCAGGGGGCACCCTGTGGACAGGCGGCTGGGGGGGGGCTGCAGGATTCTGGCCAGGGAGCCCAGGTGGAGGGCATGGGGTTCACCTTGCAAGGCTTCATTATTGTTCCCCAACTTTCGGGCAGGACCTGAAGCCTCCAGGCTAAATAAGGGGGGGGGGTCCAATGCTGCTCTTGAAGACAGAAACACTCCCCTTTCCTGCCCCCTTTCAGCCCAGAATTTGTGCTCCTTCAAACTGATCCTGCAGCCGCTTGTCCTGTTTCTGCACCCGGCTGGGTTCTGGCTCCGTTGAGGCATCTGCCCAGAGGGATAGGATTCTACAAACGGGGGTATGGAGGGACAGCGGGCGCCCTCCCTCCAGAGAAAACGCCCGCCTCTCCAAACTGCACTCCAGATCCCTTTCCCAGCCACCACTGGGACCCCTTTGGGGTTGAGACTGGGGCCGGACGTGGAGTCCGAGGCAACTGGGAAGAGGGTGGAAAGGGATGGCTGCTTTCATAGCCCTTTTAGCGGACTGGGGGGCAAGAGGGGAACAGAAAGCGCCTCCTGGGGTCTGTTTTGGCGCTGTCAGGAGAAGAACAGGAAGCCTGGAGGGGACATTCCCCCAACCCAGTGCTTTCACTGAGCAGGGCAGCTTCGCAGGGACAGCCTCCACAGTGACCACACCTTCTTAACGCCCCCTGCTCTGGCTGTGTGCCCCCCCCCTTCCAACACGTTCTGCACTCAGAGGGCAGGCTACTAGTTCATGGGTGATAAAAGCTGCCCTGAATCCATGCTAGCTGTTTTGTTGCAGGCCTAGAAAGTAGCTAGCAAGCAAAACTCAGCTCCCCTGAACAAGCAGGTTTCTCCTTGAGGTCCTCATGGCATCGCTTGGGGTGGTTTTCTCTTTCTTTCTTTCTTTGTCTTCCTAGGTGGGGTATATTTTTTGGGGGGACTTCCAGAATCCTTGGCGTCTCCTCAGCCCTTGTGTCTCTATTTCTGCCTTGTGGGCAGATGATGCCAACGAGGCCACGGAAGGCCCAGCAGGCATGGAGATGGACAATCACAAAGAGAGGAAATGGTTCTGTAAGCTAAAGGCATGGAAAGCAAGGCCTGCCAAGATTTTGGATTAACAATCAGCCTGAAGAAGACACAAGTCATGGGCCAGGGCGTGGACTCGCCTCCCTCTGTTACCATCTCCACACAAGAATTGGAGGTTGTTCATGACTTTGTGTACCTTGGCTCAACGATCTCTGACACTCTGTCCTTAGATGTCAAGCTGGATAAATGCATTGGCAAAGCAGATGCCATGTTCTCTAGACTTGCAAAGAGAGTATGGCTCAATAAGAAGCTGACGGTCAGAACCAGACAAACTACCTTCTTGGTGCTTCTCTTTTCTAACAGTGCCTGCAAGGAGGCAGCAGCTATTATGATTAGGGGTATATATATATATAAAAGGGAGAAAGGTCTCCAAGATACAGAAATGGCCTCTCAGACTCTGTCTGGGTTCAAAGCTGGGCCACTGGCTTATTTATACAAGCTCCTCTCTTCCACCCCTGATCCTGCCTGCTTGTGTGAGGTGCATGGCCTTGGTGAGCATCTACACATTCATTCATTTATGTATTTATTTATTTATTTGATTGATTGAGTTGTATCCCGCCCATCTGGTCTATGCGACCACTCTGAGCGGCTTTCATTCCCTTATTCACTGCGCTTCCAGACACAAGCCGGTTGTCTGCCAGGGCTATCCAAGTCCAGAATGGAAGTGGCCCATCTCAACGGGCTTGCCTCCCCTTGCAGCCTCTACACACAGCGCGCGCACACACACACCTCCATCCTCCTGAGACACTCAGCAGTGGGCCCACCTGCCAGGAACACGAAGGACACCGGACCAACTGTCTGCATGGGTAGAAGGCAGCTTGTTCTTACGACACAGCCCAACGGCAGCCTCCCCATCTTTCATGCCCAAGACAAAAGTGATATCCTGCTGAACAGCAACGACCCCCCAGGATAGGGACAGTCTTTTTAAACAGAAAGCAGGAGTCCCGGGTCCCTCCTGGGTCTACGCGGGGCAGTCCTCCTGATGCCAAAGTCTGTTCAGAGTCCGGACAGGCAGCTCTCCTCCCTTTGCGCTCCAGCCTCTGGCCGTGAAGGGCCCGGGAGGCAGAGGTCCGCTGGCGAGCGCCCGCTGGCTTTGCTCTGGCGGCGGCGGCGGCGGCGTCCTCCTCCTCGGCAAGGGGGCCAGTCCGTGAGCCCCCTGGGCAGCCAGAGCGCCCCCGGAGGAGCTCGGCACAGGAAGGTCCGCGACGACGAAGGCAATCGCTCCGAGAGGCGGCCGGGCCGGGCTGAGGCTGCCGCCGGGCAGGCGGACTTGGGCCAGCAGGTCCCGGAAGAGCTGCGCCACGTTGTGGTCGTGCTTGGCCGACACCTCGAGGTAGCGGGCGCCCCAGAGCCTTTCCACCGTCTCTGCCGGCGGCGCGCCTCCGGGCTGCGCGCCCCCGAGTCCCGGCGGGGCGGGCAGGTCGCTCTTGTTGGCCGCCACCACCAGCGGCTGCCGCCGGGCAGGCGGACTTGGGCCAGCAGGTCCCGGAAGAGCTGCGCCACGTTGTGGTCGTGCTTGGCCGACACCTCGAGGTAGCGGGCGCCCCAGAGCCTTTCCACCGTCTCTGCCGGCGGCGCGCCTCCGGGCTGCGCGCCCCCGAGTCCCGGCGGGGCGGGCAGGTCGCTCTTGTTGGCCGCCACCACCAGCGGCGCGTCCCGCTTGGCCTCCACGATCTCCCGGCGCAGCCGCTCCGCCTCCTCGAAGGAGCCCGGCTCGTGGGGCGAGTAGACCAGGGCGAAGGCGTCCCCGCGGCGGATGCCGAGGCGCCGCATGGCCGGGAAGCTGTAGCTGCCGCTTTGTTTATGGCTGGACGGGAACGAGGTCTCTTGCGAAGTGGGAAGCTCTCCCTCTGAACGTGTCCAAGGAAATAAAACTCCTTTCCCAGGATCGTTATTTGTAATTTTACTTTTATTAACTATATTTTTTAAAAAATTAAACAGAACAGAACTACCGAGACGCAAAGCAATTCTGTTCCTTCTCATTAAACCCGCAAGGGCACTAACAGGGCAGGATATCAGTTGGATGAATGAATGAATCACTGAAATTAATAAATACACGAGTCAGCCTAACAGCGGCATCACCCGGGACTCAAAACGAGGAGACAGGATGACTCAGGCGGAGGCAGGGCAGCTGACGAGGATGGCCCGCGGCAGGCAGAAGGGGGCAGTTATTTATTTTAGCTTGGTCACACAGGGGCGAGGGCTGGGGTGCCCACTGAGGGGGGGCAACGCTTACTGGATCCACAAGCACAGTTGGAGAGCAGAGAATAAAGTTGCTCCAGCAGGATCCATGGCCTTCATTCACCCTCCTTGGCTGAGGGGCTCCAGAAGCTCCTCTTAGTGGTCCCCGCAGAGCACAGCTGGATGGCAGCTCCCCCCCCCGGCTCCCCCCCCACCTTTGCTGGTGCCATCATCTTAAACGCTCCATCAAATCCAGAGGCCTTTGGAAGAGGCTGCTTGCAGATCAAGCTCCTTGTTCCAAAGGAAGGACGTTGCCAGTGTGATGTGCCAGAAGAGTAAGACCCTTCACTTCCCTGGCATCTCTGACTTTTAAGACATGTCTGCAAAATCCATGCACACCCAATCCTTGCCTATGAGTGCTTAGCTGATTGGAAACAGCAGGGGTGGCGGCGGGGTGGTGGTGGTTGTCAGCCACAATGCCACACATACTGGTCTTGTCTCCTAACTTGTGGCATTTTTGTCTGCTGCTCCCAAGAGGCTGCTTTGGTACAGATTTGGAAGCCACCAAGTCCTCTGCAGAGGAACAGAATGCACAGGATCCATTTGTCCCTGCCCCCCCAGGTTGGTCCTGGAGGTGCAGCTGTCCAGCAAGCAGCCCCGCCCTTGCCTCTTGGTGTGGCCGCTGGCAGAGCCTCTGCTCTTGAGCAGCAGGAAGGCACCCTGAGCAGGGGAGGGGCTTTGTTTATGCCAAGTTCAGACCCTGCACAAATATTTATCTGCTCCATCCCTTTGGCACAAGTCCCAGGGAAAAAAGAAATGCCAGCGCAAAGAACAGACCGTAGGTGTGTGCATGTTGGGGGGAGGCGGGAGGGACACAGTCATCCTGTCCCAGTGGAAAGGCTGAGCTCGCAACCCACCCGCAGGCCCTGCCTTGGCAGCTGGGCATCAAGACGGGAGGGCCACCTCCATCCCACAAAGCACAATTCCTCACAAGACCTTCTTGTGCCACAAAAATGGCAATGAAGGGAAGCTCTGAAATTAAGCAGCCAGCAGGCAAATACATATCAAGAGGAAAGTGGAGCTAGAACACAGTCCCGCTTAGGCCTCCTGAATGACCAACCTATTATGCCTGCCACAGGCTTTTGTGGAGCGCAGTCACGACCCTGCCACCCCCATCAGATGTCGTATCAAGCAGCCTCTTGTCCACAAAAGCCAAAGCCAGGCAAAACCTGCAAGCCCCCCCGGGTGCCACAAGACGCCCCCCCCCGGGTGAGCTTTCTGCAAGAAATAGTAGCTAGCACAGCTACACTCTGGACGTTTCTTCATTGAGAAAGCTGCCCAAACTTCAGAAGCCTGAGGGCCATTGCTCTGCCCCCCCCCCCACCAGACTGTCAGCAGAAGCTTCTATCAGCCCAGAAGAGCCTCGAGGCATTCCACAGCCAGCCTGATTCCAAAGAAAAGGGGAGGTTTCCTGGTTCAGCACCAGCCCACGGGTGGGGGTGGGGACACTCAGAGCACTGACAAGCAATATTCTCACCTAGCCAACTGTTGTTTATACTTCCTGGGTACACCTTATCTAAAACCAACTCTGCTGGTTTCATGTCCAGCTTGGCACTCTCGGTTACCACCTGGGCAGCCATGACTCACTCAATTCACGGCCCGGGAAAATAATCTTCCTGGGAGCCCCAAGGATTGCTGGCTGCTCGCTGGAGCCTCCCCCCCCAAGCCTGGATTCCTTCTCAGCTGGGGGAGGCCCTTCCCTTCCAGGCCTGGCACTTGTGCCTTCCCTGAGGAGTAGAAGCAAAGGGAGCCAGAAGGCAGAGAGCAGCCCTGACCTCTCTTTCCCCTTCTTAGATTCCAGGATCCACCAGCCAAGAAGTGCTCCGTTCAAGCTGAATCATCTCCAAGGGGTGAATGGAAAGAGGTTTCCGATTGCCCAAAACAGGGGCATGAGCATGTGGCACTCCATGACAGCCCCCAAAACAAGAAGCAGAAGGGCTTTCCAGGAAAATGAAGCACAGGAGCAAAGACTAGACGGTTCTGGGCTAATGTGAGAAGCCTCTGAGCCCCAAGGGGAGGCCGGGAATCCCTGGAATGAAAGCAGCAACACTACAGAACACCTTGCTGCTCAAGACTGACCAGCCGTGTGCCCAAGAGGGCATTGTGCCAAACAAGCCAGAAAGCTAGAGCTTCTAAGCCACTGGCTGTTTCTGGACTGAAAAGTTTTCTGTTTGGGTTTTTTTTTTTAAAAAAAAAATGCTCCTGGTGAAAGGGGGTCTGTCTAGGATAAGGGCATTGTGCCAAACAAGCCAGAAAGCTGGAGCTTCTAAGCCGCTGGCTGCTCACTGAAAAGTTTGGTGTTTGGGTTTGTTTTTTTTTAATGCTCCTGACGAAAGGGGGTCTGTCCAGGACGGATGGCCATATGTAAGAGGCATTGGTGGCCCCTCTCCCCTTACTTTCTTCTCATTAGCATTTTTCGGAGAGTCCCTCTCCTGCCCGGACCGAGCTGTGGTGCCCTCCCATCCTCTGGGCGGCTCACTCCACATCCGCCTTTCCCCTTGGCAGCGTGGGCCGCCAGAACTGCAAACAGCCGTAAGAAAAGGGGCCTTTCAGTGTAGCCTTTATCTCGGCTCTGTTGGCACTGGGATACTGGGGTGCATGCAGAGGTGGAAGGTGGCCTGCACTGGGGAGGGGGAAACCTGGCCGGCCCCGCAGCTGGTCTCAGCAGAGAGGAAGGCTGCTCCCCTTTGCACAGAAGCTGCTGATGGATCCAAAAAGGGCTGGCTGTTGGAAAGGCAGCCACATCACTTGTGTAAGAAAGTGTGGGAGAGCTGCAAGCAAGACAGGGCACTTCTCTGGCACCAGCGTGCGCACACACACACCCTTGTCCTCCAAAGGGGCAGCTCATGGCAAGCCTCCTCTGGAAGGACCCCCACCTCCTCTGGACAAAGGGCCAAACTGCATGTCATGGCCAGAAGCCGGGCATCCCTTTGGGTTCCCGAGCAAGGGGAACTTCGCAAATGACCCGCCCAGCTTGCAAATGGAGCCCAGGCTTATCTCAAAAGGCCAACTGCTAAAGGAGCAGAAAGGCAGCTAAGTTCACAGGCTAAACAGAATTTATGAAGGCACCTCCTCTTCCTGTGCTGTCCCACCTGCAATGCATAGGCCGGCCCTCACAGACCCATTTCTGGCTCTGTCCCCCCTCTCAGTCACTGGATTGAGTCCTCCTTGCACCATTCTTTAGCCAAGCCATGGAGTGCCCCTCCACCCACCTCAGGCTGGGGTGGTCCTGAAGCAAATCCTGTGTGTGTGTGGGGGGGGGGAGGGTGTTGCTTCCCCACTTTACCACCTGGAGGCTTGGCAGTGGCATCTGCTGGGGTGTGTGTGTCAGTGTGAGGACAGTCCCAGCAGGAGCCCTGGCTGCTGTGGCAGAAAGCAGAGGAGCTGCCACTGTGGGCCACCCCTTACCCTGAAGGAGCAGGAGGCCCATCTGGCCTCACATCGTGTTCAGCCTAGTTTGGTCCTTCACCTGCCATGCAGACACGCACACGAGGAGGGGGCCTTCTGCTCCAATTCCACACCCACCCATCCACTGTGCTCAGTGATCTGCTCTACAGGCCGTGTGGACCTGAAGCAACGCCACCTCCTCACATCACCTCAGCAAAAGCTCACTGAAGCCAAGAGGAAGACAATTCCTTGCTGCGACATGAGGAGGCGGATCAGAGCGCGGCCCAGTCCTTCCAGGGTTGACTGGCTGACCAGCAATCAGGTCAGGATGTCACGGAGGAAGGAGAGTGCCCGACAGGAACCCTGTGTCCTGTTTCTTAGCTGAGCAAAGTCACAACTCCGAGAGCATTTGACCTACTTTGGAGGATTTTAATGTGTGCACCTGAACATACAAATATGCCAGACAGCGGTGGTGGAGGGAACAGCAATTGCCCTACGCTTCTGGGCTTGGTTAATGTGTGGCAGAGCTCTACGTGGCAGGAGACATGAGAGAGTGTCTGCACAAGCACACTGTTTCTTAGCTGAGCAAAGTCACAACTCCGAGAGCATTTGACCTACTTTGGAGGATTTTAATGTGTGCACCTGAACATACAAATATGCCAGACAGCGGTGGTGGAGGGAACAGCAATTGCCCTACGCTTCTGGGCTTGGTTAATGTGTGGCAGAGCTCTACGTGGCAGGAGACATGAGAGAGTGTCTGCACAAGCACACACGCAAAGGTGTGGCAGAGCTCTACGTGGCAGGAGACAGGAGAGAGTGTCTGTGCAAGCACACACGCAAAGAGAGAGCGAGAGAGAGAGAGAAAGAAAGAAAGAGGAGAGAGATGCACACTGGCCACAAAGAAAGAAAGAAAGAAAGAGGAGAGAGACGCACACTGGCCATGCGGCAGAACCTTGGGCTGGATGGGGACCTTCAGAAAGCCCTTGGGTGAAGCCAAGATACGCGAGCAAGGGCAAGCCAGCTGACTTAAGAGTTTTGCCTGCAGATGGAGAAAGAGCTGCAAAGCCAGGCTGGGATGGGGGGGGGCTCATCAGGCCCATCCAGAGACGGGCTGGGTCTTGCAGGGGGAAGCCGGATGCTTGGCACACTGGAGCAGCTTCTGCTCTTCAGGGCAAGAGACAACCCTGCTTCCCAAACCCTTCTTTGCCCACCAAAGGGGGGGAACCTACTTCTCCACAGACCCATCTCCTTGCCCCTTTGGCCTCTTACACCCCGAGGCCTCCGTCCTGGGCCAGGTCTTCCGCAGCAGCCATCCAGAGTGATGTTCTCTGCCAGGCAGTGGCCCAGCCCTATGGAAAAGGTGCCTGCCGGTGCTCAGGCAGGTCTTTTATTTCCGAATCCTGCCTTTCTGACTCTCTGGCTGAAGCTGCTCCCACCGCTACCAACAAGGAGAGGGTGGGAGAGGGGCCAACACAGGGACAAATCAACAAGGCCATGGATAATCTGCAAGGTGCCCCCTAAAGAGATGCTCTTTGCTTTGGTGCCCTCAAGAGATCAGCAGCCCAAAGGGGCTGAGACGGGTGGCCAACATTCCCTCCCTTAGGAGGGAGACCAGGCGGGGCGGTCTAGGGGGCTCGGGAGGCAGAGGAAGCTCTGGCGGAGCCTCTCACATGACCTCGAAGGGACAGGACGGGTGCACTTGGTGTCTCTGTGTCAGGAAAGAGGACAGGGTAGCAGCTTTCCCTGGATCATTGGCTACTCCGTCCTCCTTTTCACACACACACACATGCATGCTGCGTTTAGAGGACATTATGGCAGTCAACTGGAAATGTAGAAAGCTGCTGGCGCTGGTGAGAACTGTCCGGAACATGGGCCAGGCTGGGTGGGACAGACAAGAGGAGCGGGTTAGGCGTGGGGTGTGTGCGCATGCACCTGAGTGGAAGGGGATGATGTGGGAAGGTGTCCTCATCAGGTCTCCCACCAGCTGCTCAGCACAATACCCAGATGGTACAGCAACCGGGGGGGTGGGCAGCCCAACAAGACACCCCAGAGGCTTCTTTTCACCTCTTGACTGCCAAGGGCCACAGGGTGGCACTACACCTGGGTGAGGGGCAGGAACTTCTGATAGTAGGTCTTGGTGACATCAATCATCAGCTCCTGTGTACACTCGGGGAGTTCTCCGGAGAAAAGCCCTGGAGACGAAGCAGAGTGTGAGGGACCAGACCTACCCAGAAAGGCCTCCTTTGCGTCCCCCACACTGAGGGATGCCCCCCCCTTTGAGAGATGCTCTATTCCCCAAACAACTTACCTGGACAGCCTGAGAAGACCGTAAAAGGAGGGACCACTGTTTCTGGAGGCAGCACAGTGTTGTCTAGTATTTTACAGCAGTCTTTCAGGACACACCGGCGGCCCTATGAGGATTTTCCACAGGTCAGCACGGAATGAAGTGAGTAGCCCCATTGCCCACCAGCATATCACCCTAGGAGTTGCCAGTGCACCTCCTAGCTCTGGTGGCTGCCACACACCCGCCTCTTGCACGTGTTGAGGAAAAAAGCAAGGATTGCCAACACAGAGATGCGTGGGGAAGTAGAACAAGCCACAGACAAGGCCCCGGTGTGGCCTGCAGACCATTCCTCTAAAATACTGTGAGATCTGAAACAGCGCTCAGAGCGCAGGAGGTTGTGTCACATTTCAGTTCTGACAGCTCTTTGTTGTCTGAAAAACCAGCCGTGAGGCTCGGGTGATCACCCACACAAGTGAGTTTGCCAGCTTCCCACACCAGCCGCATGGCCCCCGTCACATGCTCAGGAACCGGGTCCCCCTTGGCCAAGGGGATCAAGGCAGTCTCTGGGTCAGCACATCCAAAGCTACATCTCAGCCCCTGAACAGTGAACAATTCCATTATCTCCACAAATAAAAGTCTGGCAATGTTTGCTCAGGTGGGGAAGAAAGCTCTAAAAGACGTCGGACTGTTGTTTGGCTTGGCTGCAGAGATACCGTTCCTAGCAGGAAGACAAACCAGATGACGCTGCCAGGCCCTCTTGTAAAGAGAAACCAGGCATGGCTGTCCAAAACAGACAAATCAATGCCTTTCAAAAGTAGGGCAGCTCCCCCCGCCCTCCATCCTAGGGACACGTGCGACACAGACAGACAGCTGCGTTCTGAGCAGGACGGGTCGTCTCTGCTCCTTTGATTTACAAGTGGCTCTGGACCCCTGGAACAAAGAGCTATTCAGGAGAAGCTGGCTGTTCTGCTCCTGGGCAGATGCCACTGTGGCAACGGAGCGGCAAAAGTATGACAGCCACTGCCAGCCGCATTAGCCAGAGACCTGACATGCAGCAGAGGCCAGCTGCCTGGCAAAACAAGTGCTCCGGGCCAGCCCAGACTGTCGATACTGATGCCAGCTGCCTGGCAAAACAAGTGCTCCGGAGCAGCCCGGACTGTGAGATCGATACTGATCTTCTGTTGATGTAAAGGGGAAGGAAAAGGCAGGCCCACACAGACCCTGGGTGCCTGGCACATGCAACGCCAGGATTCACTTACAATGACACAGTTCTTCCCTATGTGGACGTAGGAGCCGATCTGAGCAGCGTTAACCACACAGTCCTCTTCAATAAAGACGTGGTCTCCAATGTGCAGGGGAAAGAAGGCAACCCTGCAGAAAGACAGGAGGGGCAGGGAGGACGAGGGTTGACTGGTCTGCCCATGGGCTTCCCCAAGAGCCCCTGCCCACAAAGCCCCACAAGCCCAGAGAGTGGCTGAGCAGGAGCGGGGTGGCAGAGCCCAGCTCATTCGGCCATTCGGGAAATGGTGGGAAAGAGGAGCCCTCCTTAGGATGCTTTGTCAACCAAGGAGCAGGGAGTCCAGTGGCCACCAGACCAGGCCACCCACAGCATATTCCGCCAAACAGGAGGGAGCCTTGGCTTGACAGACAGCCCCTCGGAGACAACTGGATGCAGCCATTTACTGTCCTCAGCCCAAATTTCATTAATTTAAAAATGGCGGGGAATGGTTCAGAGAGTCTGAGTTCCAATTATTGGCCTGGATGCAGCCATCCCTTCAGCATGACCCCAAAGCCCAAAAAGACAAAAGACATGAAAGAATTAAAAAAAATTTGGGGAAAGAAATGATTCCTTGTTCTGTTTATATCCAGAAAGTGGCAGCAGCCCGTCCTGAGTGACAGCCAGAAGCGTCCCTAAGGAATGGTTCAGAGAGTCTGAGTTCCAATCATTGGCCTGGATGCAACCATCCCTTCAGCATGACCCCGAAGCCCAAAGAGACAAAAGACATGAAAGAATTAAAAAAATTTGGGGAAAGAAATGATCCCTTGTTCTGTTTATATGCAGAAAGTGGCAGCAGTCTGTCTTGAGTGACAGCCAGAAGTGTCCCTGCTGAGATGCCACCAGCAGGGCCTAACTAGAGCCAGCCCCCTTTCATCCCAGTTACACAGGGATTAACGGGCATCACGCCACATGCCAAGCATGGGTCCAAAGACAGTTCTTTAAATGCTTGGAGGAATAAGACGGCCTGAAGCCAGCACGGAAACGGCCCTTCCTCCCCTCACTCAGCAAGTTGTTCCCTTGTGCACCTGCCCAAGAAAAGAGCCAACGGCCCTGGGAAAATAAGCTACAAGGAATGAGGAAGTCTGAGGGTGATGAAAGAAGGGCCAGCTCAACTTATTAGGATTCTGCCAAAGACGGCTGACCTCAGGGCTCGACCTGACCCTTCTTCAACCCCTTTGCTCAGCCCAAAGCTGGTCTTACCCCTTGCTGAATTTCTTGAATGGGGGACGAATAACGCTTCGGCTTTTCACCACACAGTGGCGGCCCACCCGCACGTTGGCCAAGTCCCCTCGAATGATGCAGTCATTCATGACAATTGTCTGGAGAAAAGAGAAGAGAATCCGTGAAAGCAAAGATGGGCAGAAGGAGTAAATCCGGGGTGGGGGGAGGAGTGAGTGGGAGCAAGTCCCATCCTCTGCAGGCAGTGAGACCAAGCTGCCCGTGGGGGAGGGGGTGGAGGTGGTAGTCTCACCTATGAATGGCTCCTTACCTTACAGGCTGCCTCACCGCACAGAAAAGAACAAAAAGAAGAGATGGGGTAGAACGAATTAATCCCAATTATATACAGCTAAACTGAACCCAGTATCGGGGGGCATCATAGATGGTGGATTTAAAAGCCCCGGCCCCATTGTATTCATGGCTCTAGCTCCGTGCAGGAATTTTTAAAAAAACAGATGGACATGTATCTACAAGAATGCTTGAATGACAACTACTTCATTAGCATCACAGCTGGTCTCTGCGCAAAATGCATCGAAATGAACATGGCCTGAAAATTATTTGTTATTGCCCCCACATACACTGTGAGAAAGCTTTTGCCCTTCTCAGGTTTCGGTAACAGCCATTCATAGTTTTATTTATTTGTTTAATTTATTTACTCAGCTTGTAATTTGCTCCCATTAGACCGAAGACAAACATTTGCAGTATTATGTTTGCAAATACGGAAACATTACTTATGGGGCGCTCCCAAGAGTTATCATTTTAGACATCAAAGTATGGAAAGAAAGGAGGCCCCAAAGCCTAAGCATCCCATAAACCCATGGGAAAGGCCTTCCCTCCGCCTGCCTGGCCCCGGAGGAGGAGGAGGAGGAGGAGGAAGAGGAGGAGGAGGGGGGGGCCTCTCACCTTCCCATTGAGCACAATGTTCTGGCTTCCACACAGGACGGACTGCCGGCTCACCTTGTTCCCGGAGGCCTGAAAGAAAGAGAGAAAGGCGTCAGGAAGGAGGAGGAGGAGGAAGAAGAGGAGCCCCATCCCCTCCAGGCCACCTCCTCTCTGCAGCCAAGCCTGATGATGATGATGATGATGATGATGATGATGATGGGGTGGGTGTGGGGAAACCCCTCCCCCCAGCGTTTCCCTGCCCTGCCCCAGAGCAGCCCCACTGCACGACGGCAGCTGCCC